CCCCAGGGAAAGGATACTGAATTTTGCCATTAACCAGAGCCAAGCGCCACACGAACAGGTTGCCTGCCTCATCCAGGCAGGCCAGCTGGGAAGAATTGAGGTGTGCAAAGGCCAAATCAGCCACACTGCCTGTGAAGCCCTTGAGCAGGGTCCGCTCTGAAGTGCTGACACTGATCACCCGCACCATCGCCGAGCCATTGTTGGCAGCTGGAATCAGAAGAGAAGGAGGCCCTGAGGAACTATCCCGGCCCAGGCAGCAGCAGAGATGCCCTGCCCTTGCCTGCCTCAGTGCCACTACCAGTCTCAAACTCGGTTTTCCCCCACGGATCCCCAAGGCCTGTCAGAGGTGGGGGCGGAACAGACAAGCCTTCTTTCACACCCTAAGGGCTGAGTGGTCCAACACTGGATCTGCATCTCTGGGGCTTTGAGCAAAACACCTCCCTCCTCAATCCTGCCCCTACTCACCCCGAATGGCATAGGCCAAGAAGGAGTTGGACACAGCAATAAGGTTGCCATAGTAGTATTTCTGTTCCCAGTCATACTTGGCCACAGGCTGAATTTTCACCTGAGAACAAAGGGTGAAGAAGGTCATAGAGGCTGAGGGCTAAGGTAGATCTGCCAGGGCCCAGTTGGTTCCCGGCGTCCCAGGATAGGATAGGCCACAGGTGTCAGCCTAGTCATAACTCTTGGGGCCAGATTCCCACAGAGATCTGGAAGCTAACCCTGGCTTCCTGAGACTGAGGCACACTACCTGTCAAGGTGATCCTCACAGTAACTGGCCGCATGGGAGAAGGGAGGGAGAGGCTGACTGTACCCGCATCCACCATACATGCCACAATGTCGTGGTGCCCACCTTGTTGCTGCCCCGTGCTTTGCTTGAGATGCTAGAGTCACTGCTGGCCACAATCTCCACCTCCTTGGCCAAAATCCCGATGCATGTAGAGCTGTCATCTCCTGTGAGGCAGCTAGGGGGAGGGGTACACAAGCTTGACTCCTGTTCCCGTAAAGTCTCAATGGGCAGGGTTGGGAGGGGAAGAGAATACAAACACTCTGGTGAAGGTGTCAAGTCCCAGATGCTCAACTCTGCCTGATCCACTGGTCCCCAAAGCCACAGCTCTCTTTGCTCTCACCTCCCTCCTCAGTAATGGGCCTACTTCCATGCTAAAATGGAAGCCCAAACTTCAGATCCAGCCCACGCTCTTGAGTTTGTCCTTGCCCCTCATCCTAGTACAAATATGCCGTGGTTAAGTGCACCACCCCAAAGACCCCAACACCACCACTGCCATTTCCCAGACACTCACATGACCTGCTTTTCCTGAAGGTTAATAGGTGGCATGGCACGGAGACCAGGCTTGTTTGCTGAAGTACTATCACCTGAGCAGAGGGGGTCTGGGACAAGAAGCCCGTTGAGATCCCCATTGTAGGCATTAGATGGGCGCTGACTCTCTGCACTGGGACCTGGGGACAGAAAGGTCCACTCTGATGAGGTTGTTCCACCTGCCCACTGGCCTCTCCTCCTGCAGAACTTCATTTAAGAACCATGAGGTGCTCTGGGAACATTCAACTGAGGGAGCCATGTCTGTGGGGAGGAGGACGCTTGGTTCATCTTTTGTTCCATAAGCACTGATGGTTAACACAATCTCTGCCAGGACCAAAGACATGCATGTGGCTCTTCTACCTAAGGGAAGAGTAAAGCCATCAAGAACCCTGTGAAGCCAATTAATATTTACGTCCAAATTAGCACAGAGGGACTCTGTACTGAGAGAAGGCATGGATAGGGTCAGTAGAGACTTCATTAAGGAGGTCGATCAGAGCCAGTGTGGCTGGAACACACAAATATAAGAAAGAGGGAGGGAAAACAAGTCACAGAGATCTCAGATATGAAGCTTGGGTGCTTAAATTCTCCCTGTGGCACTGAGAGCCACACAGTTTTAAACAGGAAGGTGACATAGTCTGCTATTGCGAAAAGAATGACTGCTCTAGGGTGCCTGGGTGGCTCAGTGGGTTAAAGTCTCTGCCTTCAGCTCAGGTCATGATCCTAGGGTCTTGGGATCAAGCCTTGAATCTGGCTCTCTGCTCAGCAGGGAGCCTGTTTCCTCCTCTCTCTCTCTGTCTGCCTCTCTGCCTGCTTGTGATCTCTACTTGTCAAATAAATCAAGTCTTTAAAAAAAAAAAAAAAGAATGACTGCTCTAAGGCAGCATGTAGGATAGTTAAGAATTTAATTAAGATATACCAGCTCCTAAACCAAGATAATGATAGATGGTAGAGAAGGGAAGATGGGCTCTTAAGGTATGAAAGGACACTGATAAGATGGGGGAGTAAGAAAGCAACCGGCCTCTCAAAGAAGTGGTTCAGAAGAAGCCACCTTGGGCAGATAACTTCAAAAGAAAATGAAGGAGTTGGACAAAGTGGAGAGAAACTCTAGGACAGGATGGGTAGTCAGGAAAAGCAGCATTTCATTTGTTTGCTATTAGCTATTTCAAACACCCTCACAGGCTCAGGCACCACCCTAAAGCTCCCAGGTGACAAGGAGACTAGGGCCCCACATTGAAAAACATGGCAAGGGGTGCCTGGGTGGCTCAGTCGTTATGTGTCTGCCTTCGGCTCAGGTCATGATTCCAGGGTCCTGGGATCGAGCTCTGAATCGGGCTCTCTGCTCAGCAGGGAGCCTGCTTCCCCCCTCCTCTCTGCCTGCCTCTCTGCTTGTGATCTCTATCAAATAAACAAATAAATCTTAAAAAAAAAAAAAAAGAAAAAAGAAAAACATGGCAAGGTTCTGGTCACAAAACAGTCTGGCATCTGACATGGTCCTCCAGTGCCTCCAGAGGAGACAAGCAAGAACTATTTGGCAAATGGGACAATTAAGTGCCAATCAATATATAAGAAATTAAGTGGAAAACCTCCAGGCCACTTCATTTGGATCAGAGCCATTTTAGCTGCTCAGGGGTAAGCTGGCCACTCTCCTTCCCAGGCAGGCTACCATGAGGACAGACAAGCTGCAAAATACCGGCCATGCCAGACTCTACCAAACCTTTGAGTAGTCTAGTCTGCACAGGGCTGATGAGCATGAGAGATCCAAGCCAAGCTTACAAGTAAAGGGACCACAGACTCCAGGTCTGGGGCGAACTGCTCAGTGGTTTCAGGCAGAAGATGGATTTTCCTCCGGTGGCAAGGGGTAGTTAAACCCACCCAGTGTGAGCACTAGTGTCTGCTTCAAAAGCAGCTAGTACAGTATGGGCCTCCCAGCAAGTTTAAGTACAGGGTTTGAAGAACACCAATCTTAGCTGTGGCCACTGCAGACCCCACACCACCATCAGCAGTCTTTCAATCACTACCACTTTTCACAGGTCCCTAAACCTGTCAGGAAACTTTGGTACCTTCACACATGCTATTTCTTCTTTGCAGAATGCCATTCCTGACACTGAATCACCTGTTTGTATTATTAACACCTAGCCTAAACACTGTCTTCTCTCTCAAATGTGTTCTCAAGCACTTTCCAGCCCTAACCTCACATACCTGGTCTCCATCACAGTACCAAAATATTCTTTTTCTCAATGACAACAGCATTATATTACAACCTCATTAGTTCTCTATGTTCTGGGGGCTCTTTGGAGGCAGGAGCAGCTCTGAGGTATCACTGCAAGCCCAAGTAAAGTTTAAGTGAATGGAAATAAACTAGGGCTTACAGATGTTTGTAGCCTAATCCAATCAGGGCCGTGCAGTCTGTGATTTGGTTTAATCCCAGAAAGGACACAAAAACGGGGTGGGTCACCCACCTCCTGAAAATCAGTTTTAGAACAGCAGGCCTGTTGTCTATATTCCAGAGTGAAGGGCAAGTTGCAGAGGGTGACAGTGCTCCTCAGCACAGTGCTTAGGTCTAGACCCAAAACTCAGCATACAGAGCCCAGACCAGGCCTCTGAACTATATGGTATAAGGATGGAGAACCTGAGCTAGTCCCACGTACACTTGAGACCTTGGGGCCAGGACACGAAGGAGCTCCTGCGGATTCAGAGAAGGGGCCTCACCTTCAACAGAGACGCTGAAGGACAGGGAAGAACGGCCCGGCACCAGGGTGAGAACAGATCTGCAACCTTGGCGGGCAAGCTCAGGAATTTACCGCTCCAACCCTCGTCTTACCTCACCAGCCAGGAAGATGCAGTATGGATCCTGAGGGACTGAGGGACCTGAGGACTCAGAGGGCGGCCCAGGCCCGCGCCGCCCTTCTGCCCGCCAGCCAAAGGCCCACCCCCGCTGTCCCGGCTCACCCCCCGCGGGCCGGTCCAGCTTGAGGATGTCCCGCAGGTGCTGCGTGGCGTCCTCGATGTCGATGCTCGCGCAGGAGGAGGCCATGGGCCCCGCCTCGGGCGCCTCGTCCGCCCCGCGTTCGTTTCGCTGCCGCCGTGCACTCTGCAGCCGCGCACAGCCCTGCCGGGGCCAGACAGCAGGACACGGGTCACTCGATTCGGTCCACCCGCAGCCCGCAAACCGCCGCCCGCGCCGCGTCCCTGTACCCCACCAGCCCCACCAACCGCCTCCACTTCCGGCCCTCCGGAGCGCCGGCCCCCGGAACCTGCGCAGGGTGGAGAAGAAAGGTTCCGGGCTGGGGGCGGAAGCTTCGCCCCCACCAGACCCCTCGGTCAACGGGCGTTCCTCAGGGCTGAGGCAGAGCAAATATCGAGGTACTGAACCGCCCAAATCCCTACTCGCCTCAGGACATCCTTTGTCCATTCCCCAAACATGGACTCCTGATGGGCCTGGAACTGGATCAACTCAGCCGCCCAGGTTACAGTCCCTAAGACCCTCCCAAAGAACCTGAATCGGTATGAGCCTAGGTTTCTCCTTGGGGAAATGGGGTAGGGCAACCCAAGGTCTCAGGGGAATAACAGGCCCAGGAATTAAAAGGGCAGATGGTCAAACCACAAACATCACATTGTTCATGTCCCCCAGCATCCCTACCCACCCAGGCCTGACACCCCCAGACAGAAAAAGAAACCAGAGTTTACAAACACCTCTTTATTGCAGAAATTTCAGGCACAGGTACATGGAAGAAGCTGTATTGCAGAATACAGGGTGGTTTAAGAGGCACCAGGCATCTACCTCTCTCACAAACGCCACTCCCCAAACACACAGCATCCTAAATCAGTCCCACTGAAATCTCAATTTGTGGTCTGCCTAACTGTGACGCCCTCGCCAATCCTGAAACCCCTAAGAGCGCACCAGCCCAAGACCTGGGTTGGTTCTAGCTTCTGATTGCTATCTTGCCACCAGGCTTATACCACCAGAGGTCTCAGGGCTCAAGGGCTAGTTCTGCAATGGGCAAGGCCTCTGTTCCCCAAATTGAGAAGCAGAAACTGCCCCAATAGTTAAGATTTCCTGGGACTTGAAGACAATGTGAAGGTGTGTGTATGGTGAGGGAGGAAGCAGGAGGCCTAGAGATGCCTTGGAGAGGTCTGAGGGGTGAGAAATCCCAGAGCACAAATCCCTCAAACTCAGACTTTCATTAACTCTTAAGTCGATACTCCAACCCAACTGGGCCTTGCTCTGTGGGCAATGGAGGCTGGGTGTTCTGGGCACTCACCTCTGGGCAATGACATCCAAAGTAGGTGGTACAAAATCTGAGCTGCCCTCTGCTTGGCTTAGGGTTTATGGGGCACCCTGGATGTGATCCTGACCATTCCGGGGGGGTCATTCTGGGGGGTCAAACAGGACCCTCTCCCTCAAAACCATAGGGTAGTTTTGCTGAGGCCTCAGTCCAGAGCACCTGAACCTGATGAGTCACTTTCAGGGGGATTCTAGATCATTTCTATTACCAGAGGCCCGATCCTACACAATGTAGGAGTTGTCAGAACTGACTGCAAAGGCTCCGGGGCAGAGGAAGCTTCGGGCTGGACCTGAGCTGTCTGCAGCTCGGTTTTCCAAGCCCAGTGGGGCTGAGGTGGGGAATATTATGCCCTACAGGGCTTCTGAGAGAAGCTAGCTGGGAATGCCGCTTCAGCAGTTTTCTCTTTGCCACAGGTATTGCTGAGTTGGGGGGAAGGTGGGAAGGTGAGACATGAGAGAGCCAAAGGGGCAAGGTGATTACTGATGCCCAGCCAACTATTAAACTAATTAAAACAATTTAAACTGTTAAGAAAATTTTGTGGTTTTATTGTATCATGAGGCATTGAAACATCCGAACAAATCAATATCGGGCGGTGAGGCAGCTGCTTTCTCCTTCACTTCTTTGGGTTACTAGAGCAACTTGTCAGTAGATTAAAAAAAAAAAAAAAAAAAAAAAAAAGACAACCTTTTGCATTACTTAAGTCTTTCCAAGGCATGCGCTGGTACAACACAAACTTCTCCTGTCAGATGCAACTAGTCTAGCATCCAAACATCATGCACAATACCTCGGTAGCAGCAGCGCACTGCACCCGCTCCCACCGCGGCCCTGCTCGTTTGTGTATGATATTTGGAGCATCTGGAGGAGTGTGAATAGTATCAGGAAGAGGAGGGAGGAGGAAACAGCATGAGTGCCTGGCTGGGAGGAGGTCAGCCGAAGTTGTGCAGGGCAAGCCTGAACATGTCATTGGTGCAAACCCAAGCATCGTTGATGTTCTTTAAGAGGAACATCTGGTGGAACCCCATGATGGGGTCTTCATCAGCCTGTGAGGAGAAAGAAAATGCTTCAATTAGTGAGCCTAAGAACAGGAAGGTGGTTCAGGGGTAGGGGAACAGGACAAACAATGCCGACTTTGGGATCAGACCCTAGTGTCTTGGACTTAACTTCCAATATAGCCACGGGATACTTGTGAACATGAACTGATATAATATACTGGGCACACAGGGGGCACAGATGGCAGTTCACACTGCTGCATGCACCTGAACCACCCAGTAAGTCACCAGTGAGCTACTGCAACAGAGCTCAGAGCTCCTATCTCTAGGCACAGTGATCAACTTGAGAGACTTCTGCACTGCTCACCACAGACCTTACAGTACCTAAAAACCAAGCAATCTTAGTGTCTGTCTGATTACCATGCCAGGTAGTCCAATGAGGAGAAACTACGCCCACTACTGACTGAGACCAGGTGACTGAGAAAGGGCTCAAAAGTGAGTTCACACTATAATCACACCTCTACAGGGCAAAAATGAAGCAATGCCACCAGGCAATGTTTCCTGTCACGTCATATATAACATTTGCAACGAGAAAAGAAAGGCAAAACACCTTCAGCCAAACTGCAGATGACCGGGATGAAGCCTAGTTAGGGTAGGAGCCCACTTACCCAGCTCAGTATCTAACATTGTTGGGTTTTCTGAGTTATCATGAGCAAGAAGGCAAATCAGTCTTTTGGGGATTCTGAGTTGGACAAAAACACCAGAATTAACCTGAAGCCAGGTAGGAATGGGCAACAATTACTGACCCTAGCTTAGAAAGTGGGCACTGAGCCCCCCCGGAGAGACTATTTCACTCGAAAGGGCCTACTTGAGCACAAACTCTGGACAGGGCACGTTGGGCAGGCAGTAAAAACTGACAGGAAAATCCAGGCCAGAAGGCAGGTCCCACTGGGTCCATGGCAGAGGCCTAGAGGCCTCCTCTCTCTGTCCTTGTATTCAACTCAGAAGGCCCCACCTAGCATAGGGAGAAGGCATATAGGCCTTCAGAGGCCCATGGTGACACAGGTCCAGGAGACTGAGACCTGGTCAAGGGGGAACCAATTTGTCCTGCTTTGGGAAGGAGGAGAGGCTTTTTTGGAAATTCAGAATCTGGCTTCAGTCTGCTGGAGCATAATAGTAGGAGTTCCTGGGAGAGTTCTTGGGGACAGAGGAGCTTAAGGCTTTGAAGAGGACAGGTCTTGAGAAGAAGGGAGGAAGAGTGCAAAGAGGAGCAGGAATTCTGGGAATCTGCTTTGTTCAGCAGGTGGAGGAGTCAGCGGCCAGCTCAGGGAGTGGGAGCATGGACTCAAGACAGTGACTGCGACTCAGCACCCAGCTGGCCCCTGAAGGGCCAGCTGCCAGCAGAAAGCCTACCTACATTTCAGGGCAGTACAGAAGCCCAACAGCTTGACACCACAGCTCCACCCTGCTCCTGTATCTCTTGTGCCTTTTCCAAAAAGGCTCTAGACCAATACTCTCCAACAGTACTTTCTGTAACAACACAAACAGTCTGGGAACCTAGGTGGCTCAGTTGGTTAAGCACCTGACTCATGATTTCTGCTCAGGTCGTGATCTCATGGGTCGTGAGAGTCGTGAGATCAAGCCCCGTGTCAGGTTTTGCACTCAGTGGGGAGTGTTCTCAGTATCTTCCCTCTTTCTCTCTCTCTCTCCCTTCCTCTGCCCCTCCCTCCCACTCGAGCACATTCTCTCTCTCAAATAAGTAAATCTTAAGAAAACAAACAAACTGGGGGCACCTGGGTGGCTCAGTTGGTTAAGACTTCGGCTCAAGTCACGATCCCGGAGTCCCAGGATCGAGTCCCGCATCGGGCTCCTAGCTCCGTGGGGAGTCTGCTTCTCCCTCTGACCTTCTCCCCTCTCATACTCTCACTCTCTCTCTCAAATAAATAAATAAAATCTTAAAAAAAAAATTTATGTCTACACTGTCCAATAGGCCGCCATAAGGGCTATGAGCACTTAAAACATGGCTAGTTCAACTGAGAAACTCTATTGTAACTTTATTTCATTTTAATTAATATAATTTTAAAACTAACATTAAGGGGCACCTGGGTGGCTAAGTGGGTTAAAGCCTCTGCCTTCGACTCAGGTCATGATCCCAGGGTTCTGGTATCGAGCCCCACATCGGGCTCTCTGCTCAGCGGGGAGCCTGCTTCCCCCTCTCTCTCTGCCTCTCTGCCTACTTGTGATCTCTGTCAAATAAATAAATAAAATCTTAAAAAAATAAAAAATAAAACTAACATTAAGGGGCACCTGGGTGGCTCAGATGATTAGGCATCTGCCTTTGGCTGAGGTCATGATCCCAGAGTCCTCGGATCAAGCCCCACACAGGCCTCCCTGCTCGGCGGGGAGTTTGCTTCTCCCTCTCTCTCTGCCTCTCTCCCTGCTTATGCTCTCCTCTCTCTCTGTCTCTGTATCTCTCTCAAATGAATAAATAAAATCTTAAAAAGAAAAACAACTATCATTAAAATTAAAATGTAATTTAATAATGTGACTAGAGGTTGTTATTGTACTGAATTATACAGCTCTAGATACTTTGGGTGTCCCTTGAGAAGCAGGTCACACCACAGAGAAGGCTGGGGTGCAGGGCTCTTTGCCGCCCACTCCTCCCTACCACCAGTATTATGAGGCAGCACTATTTACCTTGAGCTGGCCCACAACCATGCTGATGATGCAGCTATCTGGCGTGGGCTGATGGTCCTGTGCCGTGATGCTGTGCTGGATTTTCTGGAACGGAAGGCTCTGCAAAAGAAAGAGTGCGCAGCATGCTGCAGCCAGCAGGGCAGGGAAGTAGCCGCTTATAGCACAGCCCTGGCCCTTACTTACAGACAGCTTCTCCACAATAGCAGCTTTCCCCTGGAACTGCTGTCCTTCCCACGTAAGGCATGATGCGTCAATCTGAAACCCAGAAAACATAGGGTTAGGGCCTTGTTTGGGAAAAAATGAGTCCAGCTTCAGTTTCCTTATTGGTGAAGAAAAGAACTGAAAGTAGCTTCCATACTTTACACTATTAACAATCTCTTTAATTATTCCCTATCTTCCCAGAGCCCAGGCTCCGAAACACTAAGAAAACATAAATGTATTTAGTAAGCTCGTTACCAGTTTTTATTCAAGAAGTTATATGGCCTCTGATATGCCTGAGCCCCAGGCTGGCTATACAGAGCCAAGGCTCAGCCCAAAGTCATCCTGCTGTGTGGTCAGTCAGCACCAGTCCTAGTAAAGCCCACAAGAAATAAGGAAACAACCTATATTCATCACCATCTCTAGAGCTTAGGCTAAGTTCTACTGAGGCCATTCCCATGGGGACATCCATAGGATCAGGGAAGGACGGAAGCTGACAAGGCCTCCCAAGGCCTAGCCTGGGACCCTCCCTTCCATCAACACGCAATCCATTAGCTTTCTCCCCTTCCCTCCAGATCTCCCCTGCCACAGCTTTCAGGGGCAGAACTCAAAAGTGCCTCTGCCACTTACCAGCTATAACATTTGGCAAGCCAGTTATTTTTCTGAGTCTGTTTCCTGATTTTATATATATATAAATTTTTTTTAAAGATTTTATTTTTTTGTCAGAGAGACACAGCAAGAGAGGAACACAAGCAGGGGGAGTGGGAGAAGGAGAAGCAGGCTTCCCGCTGGGGAGGGAGCCCAATGTGGGGCTCGAATCCAGGACCCTGGGATCATGACCTGAGCCGAAGGCAGACTCTTAAAAACCAAGCCACCTAGGCACTCCTATTTATATATTTTTAAAGATTTTATTTATTTGAAAGAGAGAGAGAGACAGAGAGCGCCCACAAGTGGGACTGCGGGGAGGGGTATAGGGAGGGGGAGAAGCAGACTCCCCATTGAGCAGGGAGACCAATGCGGGGCTCAATCCCAGGACGCCAAGATCAGGACCCAAGCCAAAGGCAGATGCTTAACTGAATGAGTTACCCAGGCACCCATTTCCTGATCTTTAAAGGGGACATGTGCTGAGGATTATATGAAATGACACAGGTAAGGGCGCCTAGGTGGCTCACTCAGTTAAGCATGTGCCTTCAGTTCAGGTCATGACCTCAGAGTCCTGGGATCAAGCCCAGCATCGGGCTCCCTCCTCAGCAGGGAGCCTGCTTCTCCCTCTCCCTCTGCCTGCTACTTCCCCGGCTTGTACTCTATCTCTCTGTCAAATAAATAAAATCTTTAAAAAAAAAAAAAAAAAAAGGATAGAACAAAGATAAAGCACTCCTTTAGGACCTTGCTGACTCTCTTCTCTGGGTCAGGACTGCTTTAATTGATTTTGAGAAGCATTGAGGCAGAAATGTCAGGATCCCAGGGTCAGGTCAGTCCAAGTTTTAAAAATTCTCTATCTACGATGACAACCAAATAATACATGTGCTGAATTTGACCTTCCACTGGTAAAATCCTTTTTTTCTTCACAGTTGACCCTGACTTTCTAGAGAGAGATATGGAGTGCTTTACCCACAGTCAGGCTCTGAGGCTATGCTAGATGAGTCCTATCACTTCCATTCTGCGCAGACCTGCTAGGCATGGCCCGATCCATCACACTTCTGTGACTAAGTCTTGGCCAGGTCAGATACAAGTAGTGCCTGGTGTATACGAACATCATTAAAATAGCACCAAACAATGCCTGCCTAGAAGGATTTCTTGAAAGACACATGAGCCTCCCTCAGCCCCCTAGGTAGCTCAGTCAGTTAAGTGTCTGCCTTCAGCTCAGGTCACAATCTTGTGGTCCTAGGATCGAGCTCTGAGTCAGGCTCCCTGATCAGTGAGAAGTCTGCTTCTTCCTCTCCCTCTGCTGCTCCCCACCCCAACTCGTGACATCTCTCTGAAATAAATAAATAAAATCTTAAAAAAAAAAAAAAAAAAAAGACACACCAGCCTCCCCAGGGTAACCTCATTTGTTTACCATGAGCATAGGAAACTAGACTTAGGGCCTCCAGGAGACAGCTCTGCACTTGAGATGCTCATAGCTGCCGCCTCCAGAGAGCACCATGAGCCCTCGCATCTGCCTGCTGCTGTCCAATCTGGAAGCAGAGGCATTCCCGGGACCATGGAATGGCAAGCCCTGAACACCCTGCCAAGGATACTTGGACCCCTACTCTTACGGAAGATGACAGAAAGGAATGTGCGAACCGGGTAGCTGGGCTAGGCCTCAGGCCCCCTATCCCATGGACAGAAACTCAAATAGAAAGGTATAGCCGAATCCAGTGAGGGCTGCTAGAATGTGTGACCTGGACAGGCTAGCCCAATATCTGAACTGATCCAGTGGAGTCCCATTCAGGCCCTAGAGCTGAAGACTTACATAAATTGCGCCTAGTTGGGTTCTGTCGTTATCAAATAACTGGTAGTAATGTTGAATGAAGCTGGATCCAATCTGCTCCCAAATTGGCTTGTCTCCCATTCTGGAGCGTCACCCGGCCTCGTTGAGACCTGCAAGACCAGCGAGACAGAGAGGGAAGTGTTGGTACCAAGGGAGCGGGAGCTGGCCAGTTGCTATTTCCTCACTGACCCCCACCCCTCCTGCCCTCCTTGAGCAGAAAGTCCTTTGCTGAGGTCTGTATTCCCAAGAAACAGAGAAGCCCTGGCAAACTGGTAGGAGACCCCTCCCAATACAGACCAGCGCAGGGAGACCAGAGGTGGACCACACTCAGCCCCTCCTCTGAGGAGCTCTGGATAATGAAACAAAGAGGTGATGGGGAGATGAAGCATATAGGATGGGAGCTGAGGGTGGAGCCAAGACAAAGAAAAGTCAGAGCAAGCCCTTCAATGCCTAATGGCAGGGGTGGGGGGAGTGGGACCGGGAGGCGTGTGGCTTTTAAGGAGGAGCTAACCACATCGCTCTCCCACATCTTTTCATTTGATCTTCTCAACAACCTTCAAGGCCAGAGTTACTGTCATTCTTCCCACTTTGCAGGTCAGAAACTAGATGTCTCTGTGTGGAGTGTCTTCTATTGCAGTCCTCAGTCCCATCAGCACCACCCCAGGGCTGTACTGGCAGGTGGAGGAAGACCCAGTGAAAGAGGCGGAGATGGCTCCTCAACGCCCCACTTGGAACAAAACAGCCTTTTTTAGTCTTGGGAGCAGTCTGCTTCTTTGAGCATGGGTAAATCTCTTCCTATCTTCATGGACAGAGAGTTACCCCTACCCACTTCAGAGCTGCGGCTCTGAGTTCAAAAGATCAGAGAGTAATACTGAGGGGTGTTGGGAGTGGAAATGGAGGCTTTGGGAGGAAACATGTCATCTCTTCATACTCCTCATCCCAGCACTGTCTCTGCTGTAAGGGGTTGCCCCTCTCTGGTCTCTAAAGGAGGAAGGGAGACCTCCTCGTAGCTACAACATCACAGCTCTGAGGGTGCTAGATGGCAAACTCAAGCCCCAGATGAGAGGCACTCTGGCTTTGTTAGCCTGGCGTAGGAAGGCCACATCTCACTGAAGAATCCCATGATACCAGACTTGTCCCTTGTTCTATAGTTGGGACTATCTCCCCATCTCCTGGTAATAGGACTCTAAACCAAAGAGGTGAGGAGCTGGGTTCAACCCTGCCAGACGACGATTAACTGTAGTGGAATCTGATCCAAGTAACTGCCGTAAGAAGGGCCTCACCTTCCTCCAATCTAAGGGGATGGAGCCCTGATGTTGCCAGTGGTTGCAAAGCTTCACTAAGGGAACCGGCTAGTTCACTCCAGTCCCTATGACCTCACCCAACGCCAGAGGAGCCAGCTGGGATGGATAGTGTATGGGGGCAGTGGCTTATTCCCAATCTAGCCAATCTCCTAGCCTATGACCAAAACTCCAGCCAATGAGGGGCCAGGAAGATGAGCCAACTTTATTTTAGGTCCCATAGGAGGTGGTGGCACTAAAAATAGGAGCTCAGCGCTAGAATGACTAAGAAATGTCCTGGAAAGTCTAAAACAAGTAGAAGAGAAAGCCTGGACCCGGCCACGCCTGCTACACAGGAACACAAGGTGTGTCCCAGTTTATCCTCTGCCAAGAAACAAATCAACAAGTGGGAAAAGCATAGGATCAACAGCTAGTCTCAGCTGCTGTCTTGGTCACATTTCCAAGGGGTCAGACTGTGGCTATACCCACCCCCAATCTCTCTGCCGCATCTCAAACCTCTAGCCCTTCTACCCTAGTATTCACTATGTTTGGCTCACTCACTGTGGCCCAGCACTACAGTATCTTACCCCAAGATGTCTTACTCAGTCCCGAAGAGCTCTGGGGCAAAAGGAAAGCTGGAGGAATGGATGAGGGCCATTGCTCACTCACCAAGATGGGGCAGCCCTCAAGAGAGGTCTTGGAGAAAGAGTCCATGGCTGATTGAAAGAAAAAGCATAAGCAAGTGTCTGGGCATATGAAAAGAGGTAAGGAAACCAGGAAGCTGGAGATGAAGTGTGGCAGGAAAAAAGGCTAAATAAAAGCAGATCCAAAGACAAGAAAAGTGGTGCCATGTGGTAGGAGAGTGATGCAGAGGAAATGCGGGGGTGTTTCTTTCTTTTTCAATATTGTTCTTAAGGTGTGATAACTTGTCAATACGAAAACTACCTGGCAGAAGTAGTGGTGCAGTGAAGAGGGTGGAGGACTAAAGGGACAGGAGGGCACTCTGGTCTGATGGGGCAGAACAGGGCAAAGTGAGCTCTTCTAAGGAATGAGACCGCTCAGGCTCCCAGAAAGTGTGAAAAGGAACCTTCAAAACCATATGGTTTGAGGACTTTTCCAAGTAGGGTCCCTGAAGTCAATACCAACCTGTTGGCCTGTTTGACCCTGTTGTGTTTATTTCCATGTAGTAATCATGACAGCCACGTGGTCAGATCCCACTTTACAGATAGGAAAACTGAGGTTCAGCAATCTGTCTTGCCCCAAGCCCAACTGACACTGGGTTCCCTGGTTGAAGCCAGGGCTTTCTTCCTGCTAACTTTGTCCCCAAGCTCTAAACAACAAAGCTGGCCATATCCCTTTTCTACAACAGCCTCACTTCTGGATTAAACCCTGAAGCTCCTCCACAGGTGGCCTTCCACACCCGTCCCTGTGTCCCTACCATTCTCTCCTACCTTCATCCAGCTCCACACACAAATGACCAGATCTCACTGTGCGCTTGCTCACTGGTTTTTGCCCCACCCCCACCCCATGCATCCCCCCGCTGGGATGTCCTCCCACCCACATCTGCCTGATTAGTTCCTGCTCTTCCTTCAATTCACTGTTCAGACTCCATCTGTTTGGGTCCTCCCTCCCAGACTAAATATTGACCCCCAACCCCATGTGCAAAACTGTTATCAACACAGCCAGGGCCCATTCCTCTGCCGAAACACTGTAGCTCTGGGCTAAGAGGGTTCCAGTGTGGTTGTTGCCACACCAGCACAGGAAGTGGCTCAGCAAACGATAGGATTTCGTTTCTGACTCCAAATTTCCCACAAGCTTTCAACTCATGGCTAGGAGGCAGCATTCCTGCATCCAGAAAAAGAAGGAGGGAGCAATGTGCCCCCTATCCATCCCCATGCAACACAGGAAGGGGTCTGGGTCAGGCTGGGAGGATGCTCCCCAGGATGGCCAGCAAGCCCTGACCTTGCTTCTAATACATATACTGCAGAAAGAACAGTCTGAAAAGAAAAATGCCAAGGCTTAGAGCAGCCTCACATCAGATCGGGGACTGACCTTCATGACGGCTTCTCCTACAGTTCTTCCAAGAGGGCCGCTGACCACGCCATCTCCTGCTTCACCCCAACAGTCCGCAGGCTGACTGAGGCCAGGCTCCTCGAGGAGCAGAAATGACCTTGATGACCTCTCGCCCACTGAGCATCAGCCTTCACTGACCTTTAGGTCTCTGTGGGTGCAAAGACCCTCTAAGAATGTCTCAAAAACTGTGGCCCTCTCCCAATAAATTTGCACAATGGTAGAGATGACCCAGCCTTGTGAATAATTTCAAGTTGTTCACACTCCCTGAGGTTCAGCCATAGACCCCAGGTTAAAACCTCTTGCCCAGAAGAGCCCATTAGACAACAGAAAATTTTAATTTTTATCCTCAAATTTTGGGTGTTTCCCAGTGACAAAACTTAAATAGCAGTGTCCAGCTGATAACATGTCATTTTCCCTAATGTGTACCGACACAGAAATGTGCTAAGAGCTTTATGAGCATTTGCTCCTAATACCCTGTGACTCAACTCCCACATTACACTTAAGCAAAATGAAACTTAGAAAAGGTTAGCTAACTCACTCAAGGCCATGAGCCTAATGGATGGTGGAACTAGATGGAACCAGGTCTGGCTGACTCCGGGGCCAAGCCCCCCCAGAGACAATAGGGCAGAGATAAAAAACTAGCAAACACATCAAACACACACGTGAGAGAAGTGCTCCTGGGCAAATAAGGCTGAAGCCCTGACCTCTAACCTTGACTTTCTCAGAGAGGGGCAAGATAGGACTGAACCAGGGCTTCTGCCTCCAAACAAAGGCATGGGGCAGATTTCCACACCAAACTCAACAATGGGCGTTTCATGGGGGATGATCTCACAGTTTTCCCAAACCCACAAAGTCACAGCTCAGTTCTACCATCTCAGCAAATCAGAGATAGATCCTAGCCTAGCTAGGCCTGGGGCAGGGACGGGGGCAGGAAAGTGATAGGGTGGAAGATGCCACAAACTCCAAACAGATACACAGGAAGACCCATGCTTGTCTTTTTTCGAGTACCCATCATCACCAAGGCCTGCAGGGAATGCCAGCAGACATGCTGAACTTCTAGTGGGATCCCTGAAATCGGCATCAACCATGGCTGTTAGTTATCCTCATGCGTCCTATGGCCCTCAAATGTTCACAGTGACTTCCCTTTCTATTCTCCCTCACAAGTCTAAACCACTTAGCCTGCCTTCAAGGCTCCCAGGATGACCTGCCCTCCTGGCTGTCCAACCTCATCTCCTGCCACCTGCTCTCTCCCCTCCTCTACAGTCAGGTATTTCCCTGTTTCTGGAACATGCTGAGCCTGTTCTCACCTAAGAGCTTTGCAACTATCTATCCTTCTACCTGGATTACTATTCTCCCTGGATCTTCAAGAATCTGGCTCCTTGTCACATATGTGTCAGCTCAAATGTCACTTCCTCACAGACACCTTCTCTGACCACTCAGACTCAGTCTAGAGTAACTGCCCAGCTACTCATTTCACCATCTTGTTTTGTTTTCTTACCACTTATCATTGCATGAAATAGTCACACTTAATGTATCCGTTTATGATCTCTGTCCCTCACCTAGGGACACCCTGTTCCCATGGTACCTGGCCCAGCCCTGCTTCTCTGGAGGAGTGATTTCTGGACAAACCCTGCTGAATTTAAGTGGCCAAGTGACCCACTTCCCCTCCAACTAGACCTTCTGTCCAAGTCATCAGGAAACAACCCTTTGTCACCAATCATCTATCTGTCTGAGGGTGTGGCAAGTGGGGTTTGGCCCAACACCCCCCCCATTTGCAAAGCTCTGGTCACCTGAGGCACAGCTGTGGCTCAAGAGCAGGCACACAACCACAGCCTCAAGGTCTGGCGTCTAGCCTACTCCTCCTCTCCCTCACTGTATGACCCACTGACCCTGTCTCCCTACCAGTAATTGTGGAGATATTGGGAGTAATCAACTGAGAGTACAGAAAAAGACCCAGCTACAAGGAGTCAGTCAAGTCCTAAGTGAAGCCCCAGGTCAAGAACTCGAAAAAAGGTGGTTACCTCAGCTTCCTGCAAGGATACCACATCATAGAGCGGCCCCGACAGAAGACTGGTAACTGCCTAGTCCATCACTCTCCCGCCTGAAGTCTGGAGAGCAATCAGCCAAGGTCTGGTGCCTGAATGGCTGGCCGTGACAGAACACTTCCCTGGGGCAGACCCAAGGCCTAGGTGCCCCCAGCACCCTGAGAGGCTTTTCCTTCTCTTCTGCCTAGAGGAGGAATCCAGAGCTTTAGGGCTGCCCTGGTGAAACCCAAGACCTGGTCTTTCTGCTCTGTACTTAGTCCCTGAGTAGCCTCCCTTTCCCACATCACTCAGAGATCTCTGGGCCCCCATCCTAGACAGCTCCCATCCATGAACTAAACCCCAGGGTATGAAATTGCAGATCAGGTATATATGGACTCGGCTCTCCAGTTGGGCCTGAAGCTCCTATGTGACCATCCTCGTGGTCTGCTACGACCATGCCTGGCAAACACTGTCCTGACACTCCCAGACTGAGGTGAGCAGAGGAATAAAGGGATGCACATGCAGTCCCCAGGGTGCTAAATGGAACGCCTTCTCTGTAAGCCAAACAGTCACAAGTGTGCTCTCATTTGAGCCTCACAGCTGTAAAGCTAGTATGAGTATCATCATTTTCTAGACAAGGAAACCAAAATTCCAAGAGGTTAAGAATTCAAGACGATGCAAGGTCACTAGCATAGCCAGCATTAAAACGTCCACTAAAATGGCCTGGATTAGAACAGCTGAGAGCCAATGTCAAGTAGCAGAAAGTACAGAGGTCACAAAGGAGACGGTGAGGAATGGAGCCTTGGCCTTTTTCTTGCCCTCTGAAATCAGCAAGTTCTATACCTCTCAGGAGAGAAAGCCCGAGTGCATGCTCAGCAGATCAAAGTAGGACTATACCAAGTGAGAACTTGCATTCACCTAGGACTGAAACCACCTCTGCCAATGGAACCAATGTCTCTACACACAGACATCACTCCCGGGGGGCAGCAGTCTCTGCCCTGGTTAAGACCCAGGGGCTCTGATGAAGTATGTGAGGCTTTAAGAAAAAATCATTCCATAATTTCCCCAGTCTACTGAAGTTCCCAGGCACGTCAAATACACCTGCCTCATGAGGGGGAGGTTCTCCTCCTCTGGGATAGTCCCCTCTCTAGTCTCAGGGCTTAGGGAGCTGGCACATAGTAGATACCAGCAACATATAAGGACTTAATATTAATACTCTGCTGAGCACAAAAAGCAATCTTAGCCCGACCCCCAGGATCCTGTAAGTCTACTTTAACATATAAAAATTCCTTTAGGGGCATGTGAGTGGCTCAGTTGGTTAAGCATGGTTGGTTGGCTCAGGTCATGACCTCAGGGTTCTGGAATCAAGTCCTGAATGGGGCTCCCTACTCAGCAGGGAGCCTGCTTTTATCTTTCCCTCCGAGGCTCCCCATGCTTCTTCTCTCTTTCTCTGTCAAATAAATAAATAAATAAATAAAATCTTTAAAACAAAATAAAATCTTTAAAAAAAAAAAAAGAAAAAATTAAATTAAAAAAAAAAACACCTGAAAAAACAAAAATCTCCACGAGGAGGTTCAACTCAACCCAAGTCCATTAGAAACCCTGCTCAACTTTTTTCTTTTTTTAAAGATTTTTAAAGGCTCGCTAACAACCTTTCTTCTTCAGTGCTCTAATCAATGCAAAGCCCCGTCTTCTGCACAGGACCAAGAGCCCCTGTAGGTCCCTTCAACTCAGCCCCAAGCACGTAACATTACTCCTTTCCCCAGCACCAGGACTGGGTAGGATTCATTTTTCTACCTTCAGCCTCAGCCCAGAGCCTAACACACAAAAGGCCCAAAGAATGGTTGCTGAATAATACTAATCATCAGTGAGAAAGGAAAAGAAAAAAAAATTCCTATTAAGATACTAATGCCCCAGTAAGGGAATCCCAGAATTTCTTTTATACAAGTGCTTTGCAATTCTGTAATTTGAGAATTCTAGTCATTCTTAAACCACTCATGCCACCCCAACCCACCAACTGCAAAGACAGCAGAATAAAGTGAGATGTGGCTTGAAGAGGAGAAGTACACTCCATGTCACTAAAGGTCCTAGTTTTGAGCAGAGAACGCAGGCACCCTCACACCCTGCCATGCTTATACAGCCACATTTTGACTCCCCCATGCCAGGCCCCACTTCTAAGTCAGCCTACCCGAATAGAAGATGCAGATGGATTCTGAAGAACCTCAGGACTCTCCTCTTATCTCTGAGATACAGATGGCCTGCCAAGTTCCAGAAAGGTCAAGGACTTCTGGGGGTCAGGATGCCAACCAATGGCTAGCTAAGGCCAGACACAGAAGTTATAGAAAACTTCTAGGGTTGGAATGAGAGGGAGAGACCAGAATTCCTCCTACTCTTGATGCTGCTGCCAGTGGTGAAGGAACAGTATCAAGAAGGAAAAGTATCTTTTTGACCTTGAAGGAAACCATTGTCATCAAATCACCTAAGGCTGTAGAATATACAAACTAATCCACAGAAATAAGTCTAGCTCACCTGAAACCTGCGTCCAAGACAGAACCAATCCTGACAATCTAGAGAGGATCCTTAAACAACTGCTTCTAGTACTAAGAGATTCTATCACAGGGATCCTATGTATGTTCTGCGGGCAGTCCTTCCTTGTTGCCCATCTGCACTAGCAAACCAGACCCTTCCAAGCCTGCTGAATGAACCTGACTTCCATGTGCTTACTGGCCAGGAGGTGGACAAGGAGGTTTTGAGGACAGAGAGAAGGGAAGTGCTGGTTACGAGGTCTGGACAGATCTTTGCCTGTCCTCCTTAACCAGAGAGAATGACCAGACAAAGAAGGAAAAAGAAAACTTCCAAAGGCTAGAGCCCAAAGACCAGAAAAACATCACCTGGGGAAATACTCAAGGAAGAAAAAGTCCAGGGGTGGCGGCTTTCTGCCTCATGGGCCTAACCCAACTTTCCTAGGAGACCTGCTTGCTGCTGAGGTCAGGCTTGCAGAGTTTTAGCTGCTGTGTTAATCTTTGCAACAATTATGGCTCAGAAGCTATACTGGGTCAGAGAAATCAAGGCTCCACAAGCTGTCTCTTTCCCAAATCCCAAGGTTCTCTCTGGACTGGTCCTTAATACATCATCAGTCAATCAGAAATGCCTTTATAATGCCCATCAGAAGACTATTTTAAGGCTAGATACTTCTCTCAGGACTCACAGGGGTAGCTGGAATAATCACTGAAGGCAACTTCCCAAGGCTCAAGCAGCCTCCTGCCTGTACACAGGTTACTCCAGCTAGCAGGAAGTGAGCAAGTGAGGGGAGTCTGACTTTCTACAGCTTTCAGCTCTAGTTCTCCCACCCAAGCTTCAGGAGGGCCCCACAGAGTCTGAATCTGAGCCCCACAGCCCAAATGTGCACACCATCAATGTAGCTTCAAATCCAGTCTCTCGTTTGGCACTGGGCTTATGGTCCTCAGGACTGGATTCTACTTTCTCCTCTACTTTTCCCTCTACTAAAACCCACCTTGTCACCACCATTCTCCTGGAATCATTTTCCTCTGTGGGAGGAGGGCAGATGACTCTGGGAAGGACAGATGTGAGGATTAGGCTACCCCTGGGGTCTAATAACATATTGGGGGCTCACACATCCAACCTCACCTCCGTGGCTTCTTTTCTCCCCTCCTCCACTAAATGGGCCGGCCAACCTACCCACAGCTGGGGCCTGGTCCCCAGTAGAAGGGGGGGGTCTGAGCCTACCAGGCCCGAGCAGCTCATCGCATCGGGCCAGATCCTCCAAGGCTGCCGGGGGGTGAAGTCCCATGTGGAACCCCCCTCCCGCCCCAGATTCCCTGACCTGCCCTCCACGCAGGAACCCACACATCAATTCCAGAGTGGGAGTTAGGTTTTGTGCACTCCCAACGGGCAGACAGGCAGGGGAGAGTTCACCTACATCCTAGCCCGTCTATGCTCGGGAACCGGGTGAGAGTCCTAATCCCGGGCTGCGGCAGGAAAGCGCCCTTACCCAATGCTGACTCCGGAGCGGGCCGGGTGGCGCTTGCCCATCCCCGGATCCTTCGCTGGCGGGTGACAGGACGTGGGGCTGGGGTCGTCCCGCTAGCCTGCCTGCAGAGCTTGTGGGACTCGGGCAGGCCGGGCTAGGCCAGACGGGGCGGGGCCCGGAGAGCCCCATCTGGGTTGGTCTGGACCAGAGAAAAAAAGGCCCGGCCGCCGCGCAGTCCGCTGCACCCGCCATGGACACGATACGGCCGGATAGGCGCCTGGCTGTCTCTCTCTGTTCCCCCCGGCCGCCGCCTCAGAGGACCGGCGGGAGGCGGAGTCGCGCGCGACACATGGCCCCGTCCCCGCGCGGCTTCGGGCCGCCGGTGGGGGGGGGAGCTCCCGGAGACTGGCAGCGGAGGCTCCGAGCGGCCCAGAGCGCGGCTCCAGCGGCCCAGCCCCCGCCCCGGCGCGCTAGCCCCGACACTCACCCGAGGGGCTGGCACGATGGCGGCAGCGGCGGCGGCGGCAACCCAGCGCGGTCTGCGACCGACTGTCCCTTCCCCCCTGCCTTCCCTCGCCACCCCGCTGCACTCTGGGAAACGCAGTCTCCCAGAGCTCCTTTCTGGCATAAGTGTGCCAGGAGAAAACTACAGTTCCCGGTGTGCTATGCGCCGAGGACCAGCCTCGGCCCGCAGAGCGGGAGGTGAGGCTAAGCCGGGGAGGGAGGCTGCCAGGGCGAGCCCCTGAGAATTGTGGTCTAGCGGAAGCCTCTGGAACACCCGAGGTTGGCGCCAGGCAAGGGTCAGGGTTTGGTTGTCTCCAGGTCCCAGCTGGTCCGGCCCCGCCCATGTTGCGCTGTGGTTTGAAGCAGGCCCCGCCTCCGTGGGAGTCCCGCCTGGCCCCAAGCAGGCCCAGCCGCCCCTCCCGGGGCCCCTGGGCTGTTTCCGCTCCGGAACTCTCCTCCCATTTGGTCCTCTAGCCACCCCTCCCACCTCTGGCCCTTCGACTCTGACGAGCGGTGCTCTAAAGTCAGCCAGGGCGGAACCCATAGTGTCGCTGTCCCAGCATTCATGCACCCTACCAGGCCCAAACCTGATTTCGAGCAGTCGAGGCTTTCCTTTGGGCTGGAGACTCAACTGCTCAAGTCGGACTCAGCTGGAGACATGATTACTCTTACACTTGTACCAGTTGGGGTCTCCAAAACATTCCAAGTTGGGGTTTTTTTATTTGTTTGTTGTTTGTTTTTACAGCAGGCAAGGCAGCTAAGAGTTTCATTTTTATTAACAAGAAAAGCGAACTGGCTCACCCAAACTTTCCCCATGATTTAAGCGACCAGATTGTCAATAATCCCATTTCCATAGTTTACTGGGCATTACAAACATTCGAAGTAAGGCCTGTGTTTAAGTCAGTCCTGTTGGGGAAATCCTCTGTAGCTAACCCAGGTGGACCACAGGTAAGGGAAATATCCTGGCAGCTCCATGCTTTCCCTTCTGGCCAGAAATCTCAGTATTCCTGTTCTTCGTAAGTTTTGCATCTTCACCAATATACACACACATACAACATTCACTTGCTGGGGATGGCTTGTAAGACCAGGTCTGCACTACTTTGCCTGATTCGATGCTTATTACTTAGCCAGTGAGAACTCTTGGTGGTGTATCTGGGACCTCCCTTGTTCTGTCATTCCCCCACACCCTAGAAGCGAAAACTCTGGATAGACTGTATGCAAATAACCTCCAGACACCAAGAGTCTTGGCCAGAGCCTGGCCTTCACCTGTCCTAGGAGTGCTGCTGAGAGGTCCAAGTGAGACAACGCAGAAACAGTGTGCCTTCAACAAACAGGAGCTAGGATACGCTTAACGGCATAGACTGAGCCTGAGAAAGCCCTCACTCCTAGTGGAGAGTGGGGACGTGGGAGAGTGGTTCAATGGCTGCTCACAAAGGGCTTCAGTCCCAGCTGGCCTGGAAGGGCAATGCTGTGCTTCCACCACATTACTATGATAAGCCAGAACTAATGCTAGGAAGGCAGAGATCCAATTCCTCCCCCAATCAGGCACCTGTACAACCTATACTCCACCCCATTTCCCTACCAGAGACTTCTCAAGTCAGTGCCAAGGGGCCAAAAGAAGAGCAGGGACTAGAGAAACATTTGTTATTTCCGTTCACAGATACAGGGAAAGCCCCCTGGGAAGTGGCTTTTTCTAAAGTAAGAGAGAAGGGAGTCATGTTTTATGGAGCCCAGGAAGTGTCCATTTGTGCCTGAACACCCATAGTAAATAGGGCTAGACTTATAGGCTTGCCTTTCCCCCATTGACTTTGAGCTAAATTATTAGTCTAATAAATCTAAATTTATTAGAGATAAAAATGTCACCTCACCCCTACCTTATCTAAAAAAAGCATAGAAACAGACAAGAAATGAATCAAGGGATCACAAATCCCAACTTCTCCACAACGAAAACGTACCAAGGCCAAGGTATCTATATAAGAGTTCTTATGTGTGCAGGAAGCATGGCTACTTTCAGCTGTGATCCTCAATAAGTAATAAGTAACTGCAACCCCATGTGTGCCACTGTACCAGGACTAAAATGGTGAGTGAAATTCAACCACAGCTGAAAATTCATGAGGAATTCAAAACCCTCAAGAGAAGTGAGCAGTCACAATTTGGTTTAGTTCTCAGTCGCTCCTTCTCCTAACCCACAGCAAACTGGGACTGTTCGGTGCAGTTTCCGAGTAAGCTGGGCCAGGAACTCTGTGAGAACCTTATGAGCCAGGGTCCATGTGCTCAGGGTCCCTTTATGGACAAACATGGTCACTAAAGCATTTCTAGTCTTAGGATCAGTCTGGTCCTTGAGACCTAAGGTAGAGGCTTGTTTAGAGGGTCTATTTCCCCACCTTTCAAGGATACTGAAATGAGCCTTTATAAAAATAAAATGGCGAAACTCAAATTAAAACCTTACTTTCTGTTTAATTCGTTTTGCCAAACAAACACAGTGAAAACTTTAGTCTGACTAATTGTACAGAAAATAGAATTTGTAACCAGTAGCAAACATAACAGGATAAACCTAAGGCCCTGGCAAGCTGGATCATCAGCAGGTCACCTAGATCCCCTTGTAGATGGCCTCCTGGGGAGGGAGGGAGGTCCTTATAGGCAGAGGCACAGATCTGCCAGTCCCCGTCAGAATCACAGGCTGCACCTGGGAAGGAAAAGCACTAAAAGGAGAACTGATGTTACTTGGATCTCTTATCACTACACACGGAAGAGTCGTCTCAATGCTGGCCAACCTCAAGCAGTTGTCTTCCCAAACCCATAGTCTTGGGCATCCGACCTGCATCCCGAGTGGGTAATTTTCAAGGTCAGTGGTTCTGAAGCCTCTGCTTAAGCAGAACCTGCAACATAAACTGGAGGTGAGGTGGGGAGTGGGGGACAAAGTCATAATTGCTGGTGTCACCTGTGCAGAGTCTGAGGTCCCAGACTTCAGGACCTTGCTTCAGGAGAAAACAAGAGAGGGTGCCAGGTCACCAGCAAGAGTCCAGCGGCCCTAAGCTTCAGTACTGTCAACCAGTGCCCCAGGAGTATAGGGGAGTTCAACAGCAGCGGCCTAAGGTCCCTGTAGGCTGAGAGGGGTCCAGGAGTCCAGCAAGCCAAAGGGGGACGGACCCATTCACATTCCGTGCTTCTTTCGGATGACAGCCATGGCAAGCAGCCGATCCTTCTCACGGAGTTCTTCTCGTAGCTTGGCCTCGGTGAGACGCAGGTGGCGGATGCTGCCTTTCATCTCCTTCATCTTCACCTCCATCAGCGCCAGGATGTCCCGCTGCTCATTAAGCTTGCGCAGGAGCTCCTCCTCCGTGGTGCCTGACGACAAGGAGTAAGAGTGGTCGGAGCCAGTATCAGGGAAGCCCTCTTCCCCCACCACCACCAGCTGGGGGCCCATAGGGCACTCTGCGGCCTCCAGCCCTGCCGTAGCTGCCTCTAGCTCCGACGCGGCGGCTGCGGCAGCTGCGCCCTCTGCAGCGGCGAACTCCACTTGCACGGTCAGGTCGATGGGTTTTACGTCTTCGCCGGTGGGAGTGGTGGGCGCTGGGGGAACGGACCCCGGAGCCTGGCTGCTGTCTACAGCGGCCTGAAGGGTGAGGAGCACAGCAGCAGAGGCAGACACCAGGTTCGGCTGCAGCTGGGAGGCCTGGGCAGTGGAGGCTGAGGGCGACGCCTGCTGCTGCTGCTGCTGCTGTTGTTGTTGTTGTTGCTGCTGTTGCTGCTGCTGCTGCTGTTGCTGCTGCTGCTGTTGCTGCCTGCGGCGGGCGGCTGCAGCCCCAGCGGGTCTGCGCGCTACTTTGCGCTCGTTGACGCCGCGCAGCGGGAAAATGGTGGGGACGCGCACGGTGTAGGTCTTGCGGCCGCCCTGGAAGTGGACGCTGCAGAGTCGGTGGCCCGTGGTGGGCTGGAAGGTGGAGAAGCACCCACTGACGCCAGCGCGGGACACGTTCTTGAGCCACAGGCGCCGCAGTTCAGCGTCCTTGGGAAACGTGTAGAAGTGCAGCGCCTTGTCCCGGTGCGAGTTGTTGTAGCAGCCCGGCACGCAGCACGTAAAGCCTGGCATGGCTGCGCCGCGCGGCCCGGCTCGGCCCGGCCCACCGGCCTCCTGAGCCCTTCGACGGCCCGGTCGGTCTGCCGCCGCCCGCCCCTCGACGGGCGGCGCCGTGCGGGGCCTTAGGCGGCCTCCCACTACTGCCGCCCAGCGCGGCCGGCCTAGCCCGGCGCCCCGTGCCCAGAATACGCTTCCCGCCGGCCCGCGCTGCGCCGCCCGCCCGGCCGCCCGCCTGCGCTCCGGAGTCGGCCCGGGGGACGCCGCGAAGGACCGCCTGGGAAGGAGGACTACGCCCCCCACAATGCACCGCGCCAGAAGCTGCTCACTTCCGGAGCGGGGGCGTGATTATTCCGGCCGCTTTCCAGGGCACCGTGACGGCCCACGCAGAACAGATTCTTACCACCCGGCTTATCCCCGGCCAACTATAGAGGCGTATTCAGTTGGAACGCTGTCGCCTGGACCGCCCTTCACAAGGACCCAGAATCCTGATGGGGGGAGGGAGGTAGGGCGGTGCGCGCCTCTGTAGTGCGCAAGCGCCTTGGGCGTTTGCTTACGGAAACTACAACTCCCGCAATGCCGTGCGCTGAGCTCGGCGACTGCGGCCTGGAGCGCCGCCTAAAGGAGAGGTTGGGTTATGGGGGACTAGGATTTGGGTGAGGTTGTGTGACCGCCGGAAGCGCTTCCCCAATCCTCGGGGCTGCGAATTGATGGCATTCCCGCGGGGATTGGGTGGGGCACCTGAGCTTCAGTACCCAGAAAGACCTCAGGAGCCCCTTTCTCTGCGTTGAGGACTCGTCTAATTCAGCTGCTGCTTGAGTTGACTCACATACTCGCCTAAACACAGTCACCAGAAGGTGCCTACTGTGTGGAGGGTACAGTGCACGGAGTTGGGAACCTTGCTGAAGGAAGAAGCTAAACCGACCAGGCCTGACTACATGGAAGGATGAGGGTCGGACTTGTGGATAATAGATGTGAATGCACCCGAATGGATGTCTAATCACAGAAATAAGT